CTGACAGCAATGAGCCCTGTGGGGCTTGAACTCACGAACCATGAGATCATGACCTGAGCTGAAGTCAGACGCTCAACCGACTGAGCCACCCAGGTGCCCCCGACCTAACAGGATGCTTGCTGAAAGCAGGCTGGCATGATCAGACCTCACCTGGGGTATGATGGGGAATGAGGAACCCGGTTTTGACAGTGATCAGACATCAGGGGGCGGGGAGTCCTCTTTAAACGGACTTATCAGGATTCTTGCTAAAGTTGGACGGTGCAGAAATGAACACAGACATCCAAAAGTTAAGGCCTGTTTGAGAAAGAGTGAGAAGGCCATGAGCGGAGTTTGGTCAAGGAGAGATTCTTTGTCAGTTCCTGTGTTTGGGAGAGGGGTATAGGTGTCATCCTATGGGTGGAATCAGCGTTAGCATCTGCCGGGTTAGCATCTACCACTTCTCTCGACAGATGGGTGTGAGAGAAGGTTCTGTGTGAGTCCAGACGCTGATACACTCCACCCTTCCTTTGGCTCTGGCTCACACCCTCTCAGAGCCGAGTCAGCCAACCAGAAGGCTGGAGATGCTCTAGGTTATATTACAAAGTTGTGGAGTTTTCGTAGTTTCTGTCCCTCCGCTCTCTGTTCTCCGTCTTACCTCTCCCCAGGCAGGCAACCTCTTCCCACTTTTGCTCCCAGGAGGGATGAGAGGTTGCCAATGGGCACTTAGTCTTTTTTGGAGTATTCACCTTCAAAAGCGTAGCCCAAGTGAGCACGTAGTTAGGGTTAACTTTACAGGTGCTGTCCCATTCATTTCCTCGTTGGTAAAATGAGAGTGAGGATAGTGTCTTCCTCACAGGGTGACTGTGAGGACTAAGAGATCCCGTCTGGGAAGTGCTTAGCAGAAAGCCTGGCACATTCCAAAAGGGCTCATTAAATGGGGTTCTTAGTATTGTTATTTTGCTCCGCATCAGGTAATTGTTTAGGTGCCGGATACCAGATAAGCCTCCTTTCGTTCCCCCTTAAGACCCGCACCTGTGAACAGAGACAGGCCTTTCTTTAGAGAAGCAAACAGCTTGACAGTGAAACCAATGCCTCGCAAAAGAAAAATCTAAACACTAGCATACTGACTGAGTCATCCATGCTGCCTGGGGCTGCCCCATCACTAGTCCACAGCGGGTGGGGTGTGAATCACAGACGCTTAATATTGCTAGTCCGTTCCACAGGGGGGCCTCTGCGGCAGACAGCCTGACCATACTTGGATGCCTTTTGCCCAGGTCTCATTAGCAACGATCAACCTTCTGGAATAACAGGAAGCCTTTTTCCTTGTGGAAGGTTGTCCTTAGGTGACCACATCTTTCTTAGCGTTAGTTAAGACCAGGAGACATTTTGCTGTGCGACTCGCCTCCCCTCTCACACATGTGTAGATCCTTTGTCCCGGTGGCCAGGTGTCCTCGAGACAGCGCTCATGCACTACAGAAATGATCCGTGGGATCCTGAGGGCCTTGCAGCATGGGGGTGGGGAGGGCTGGAAAAAGGAGGTTAAATTAAAAGCAACAGGACAGAGAAGAGTGAATAAGCTGTCTTAAGAGGAACAGTAAATGTTCTCAGTAAAATAAATGTCATCTACTCTTTCTTGACTTTGTATCCACTCATCAGCAGCTACCCTTTCATCAGTCACCTTTTCAAGGTCAAGTTTCTTCCTGACTTCCCATTCACTGTCTTTGAACGTCTACCTCCATCCAGCTCCATTTTCTCTACTCCAGTGAATGTCATCAGGAACATGTTACATGTGTCCCTTTGTACTTTTTGATCTTGTTGGCCTTCTCATGCTGAGGTAAGGACTGTGCTGATGACTCCCTTCCGGAAACAACTCTCTCCTGGTGCCTGAGATACCCTCCCTCCTGGATCTCTTCTCTGATGATCCCTTCTCAGTTCTTTTGTGGGTTTCCTCTTTCTCTCACTGACTCTTGTTCAAATGATGGTGCTCCCTTGGGTTCAGTTCATGGACGCTGTGCTTGGACGCTGGTCTCAATTTTAGCCCCCCAACCTCACCTGTGCCTAGAGCTTCAGCCATAAGGTGCTGGCCGCCTGCCGTCATGTTCCTCTTAGACCTATCATCTATTGGGTGTCTCCACTTGAGTATTCCAAAGTATTTGGGCATTTCCGAGTCCACATTCTCAAGACTGAACACGTCCACCCTCTCTTCCTGATGAAACGCGTCTTCTGTTTCACCCAGTGCAGACACCACGGGGTCATCTTGACCGTATTTATGATCAGTGACTATACTAAAGACTGCATGCGTTTTCTCGTTAAATCCTCAAAACAGTTCTGTTGAGCTCATCTTGAAGGTGAGAAAGCTGAGGTTCAGAAGAGTAGGATGCTTGCCCAGCTTTAAGTGGTCGAGCCAGGATTACCACCCAGGCAGTCTGATTGCAGAGCTCTATGCCTAACTAACCTCCATGTCACTACCAGGCCTGTCTAACTTGAGAGCTCAGGTTCTAACCACGTCACTCTACTGGGTGATGCCCCAATGATCCCAGCACCAGGGCCACAACATTCACTGTAACGCCCAGGTTCAGTGGATCTCCTTTTTCGTCTGGGGGTCACTGCATCACCTCAGACCCTCATTCTTCCCTTGGAGTGACTGGCCTCCCTGACTGTAGCCTTACCTGCTGCAGTCTCTCCTCCACATTGTCCATCCAGGGGAATTTTCTACAATGCATGTTAGATCACATCATACTCTTAATGGAGATTTTGCACCACGAAAGCCCCGAACCCTTAGGTTTGCACTTAGTGCCCTTCATGAGTGGCCGGTCCTTTGTTTCACTCTTCAGCCTCTGCTCCTACCTTGGGAAGTTCTCTGAGACACGGATTAGTTTTACTCATCTTTGAGCCCCAGCCCTGAATGTTTGTTGAATGAATGAATGAATGAATGAATGAATGCAAACCTTTAATTAAATTTTTCTTTTCTAGATGCCAAAGGAAGCAAGCAATTGAATATTATAAACAAGTGATACGAATAAAGGAAAATGCAGGGACTTTCACCAATTCCTCACTCGTCAGGAAGCAGCTGAGCATTAGCCTAAGTGACACCTTGTGTAAATTAAGTAATTGCTGACATATTTCTATTAGAAGAGGGTGACTTTTCCCTTTGACCTGCATACTTGGCTTATTTTAAAAATGCCTTCATTTTGAAGCAGGTAACTCCTGTTGACTATGTAAGCGTCTTGTTTACCTTGTCTTATCAGGAAAGCATCTTAGTCTGTCTGGGCTGCTGTAACAGAATACCACAGACAGGGAGGCCTAGACAACAGATACCTGTTTTTCACAGTTCTGAAAGCTGGGAAGTCCAAGATCAGGTGGCAATAGACTTGTGAGAGAGCCTGCTTCCTGGTTCATAGACAGCTGTTTTCTCACTGTGTCCTCACATGGTGGGAGGACGGACACCCATTTTATGAGGCACCGATCCCATTCATGAGGGGGTTGCCCTCATGACCCACTTACCTCCCAACGGCCTCATCTCTGAATGCCATCCTGTTGGGGGTTAGGAGTTCAGCAAAAGAATTTGGGAGGAGGACACACTCAGTCCATAATGGAAAGAAGTCTTTCCATCTTCTAGAAGTCTTTCCATCCGTCTCTCAATCTCTTGTGGGCGGGACACCATGCCTGGCTAGACCCTGTCTTGTCAGCGTGGCTTCCCTTCCTGCCCATTCTGTAAGACACTGTTTGTATAGGAATAGCCTCTTCATACTTATTCCTGTGACCCTGGAGTAACACGTGACTGAAAATCACAAATGGCTTTTCACATGGGCCTACCTTTGATTGAATGTTTTTTAACTTTTTTACCTTTATTTATTTATTTTTAGAGACAGAGCACGCACGCATGTGTGCACATGAGTGGAGGAGGGGCAGAGAGAGAGAGAGAGAGAGAGAGAATCCCAAGCAGGCTCCATACTATCACCACAGAGCCTGATGTGGGTCTCAAACTCCTGAACTGTGAGATCATGACCTGAGCCAAAATTAAGAGTCAGATGCTTAACCAACTGAGCCACCCAAGAGCCCCATTAAGGGCATTTTAAATGTTAATTACTTGTGTTATCATTATCATACATTTATTCATTCATTCATTCATTCATTCAACAAGTATTTGCTGCACCTTAAAGCAGTAAGAACATTTTATTTAGGACTGTTGCAATAGGGGAAAGAGGCCTCAGTACAAAAGTACACTCAATTCTGAATACAGCATGGACAAGTGAGAATTTATAGCCAAGGAGTAGGGAGGGAGTCAATGGATAGAAAATTCACCGAGAGGAAACGTCCGATGTAAGGAATTCGGGCTCAATGAACCTAACAGGGCTCTTGCTGAAGGCAGGCCTCACCTGGGCTGTGATGGGGACTGAGGAACCTGATGTCCAGGGTGATCAGTCACTGAGGATGGCTAAACTGACTTAGGAGGATTCTTGCTAAAACTGGACAATGCAGAGATGAACACAGAAGCCCAAAGTGAGGCCTGGTTGAAAAAGAGCTAAGAAGAGCCTGAACTGAGTTTGGTTAATCGGAGAATCTGAGGTGACAGTCTGTGGGGCAATAAATTCTACATTTTGTTTCCTCTTCTGGTCATGGTTTTGTGAGACACTTATTCAAAAATGAAGTCTTTCTGTGTAGTATATCCTGTACAGCTTGTCTCCTCTCAATTTCAATCCAGTTTCGAGACAAATCTTAACCTGATAAAACTGTTAATTCTGGAGATTTTAGTACGAATCCTGACTATGAAAAGAGGATTTTTGTGATTAATGTTCCAGGCTACCTCTGACACAGAACCGTATTACTGTTCTCCTTCTCTGATAAGTGTTTTTGTTTATGTATTTATGAGAGAGCTCGTATGTGCACAAGTGGGGGAGGGGCAGAGGGGGTGGAGAGAGAATCCCAAACAGGCTCCATGCTGTCAGTGCAGAGCCCAAGGCGGGGCTCTATGCCATGAACCGTGAGATCAAGACCTGAGCCGAGATCAAGAGTCGGATGCTCAACCGACTGAGCCACCCAGGCGCTCCTCTGATAAGTGTTTTAAATCCACCTATTGAGAAATAATTTCAGTGGGAGTGTGGCTTTTCATATCCCATAATATCAAGCTGAATGTTCTGTACTGAATTGTTTATTTTGAAAGAAGTATGATAGATGAAGTTCACGTTACTTCCCTCTCCCTGGGATTCTTTTAAAAAAAGAAATGCCAACCATCTCTGTCAAATTTAGAAGGAAGAAATTAAACAAAAGCTCTAGTGGGTAGTGGGTGACTTTCCATACGGTGAGTCAGTCCTCTCTCCTCAGAGGAGTTTTCAATGCTCAGCTCAGCTGTGGTCCTCTATAGCACTAGGTCTCTTAATCCAAAAGATCAGGTAAGTGACATAGACAAACTGCCTTTCAATTTTATTTTATTCTTTCCTTGAGAGAGAGAGAGAGAGAGAGAAAGAGCGAGAGAGCACACATGTGGGGGTGGAAGAAAGACAGAATGCTCAGCATGGAGCCTGACTTGGGGCTCAATCTCTTGACCCTGGGATCATGACCTGAGCTGAAATCAAGTCGGATGCTCAACTGACTGAGCCACTCAGGCATCCTATGCATTTCAATTTTAACTTCCACATATAAATAGTTATTTCCTCAAACTCTTAAATTTAGAATCAAGACTTTTTTTTTTTTTTTAGAATGGGTCCTCTGATTAGAATTAGCCATCACCTTTCTCAAAATGTATCACCCACAATTTCCAGTTTTAGTTTCTGTAGGGTGAGAACTTGGACAATTGTCATGGTTTGTGTAAGATCCTTCTAGGTTGCTATCTCTTTCTTCCCTCCACCCTTTATGGCTGTCTTGCCCTGGAATTTGAAAGAATTCCAAGGCATTCAGCCTGTTTTTCATAGAAAACAACTCTCACTTCATTTTTTAAAGTAGACATCATGCCCAGCGTGGAGCTGAATTCAGGGCTTAAACTCACGACACTGAGATCAAGACCCGAGCTGAGATCCAAAAGTCAGATGCTTAACCACTTGAGCCACCCAGGCACCCCACCAAAAATGTATTTTAGATCTAATACTCTGTGGCTGATAGAGGATGGGGCTGGTAAGAGAGGACTGGAGAGTCTCCTGTGTTAACTGAGACCAGGACAGTAGAAATAGAAAGGGTTGTATTTGAGATTTCAGAGGTACATCCAACTGTTTTCAGTGCTTGATTGGATGTGGGAGGTGAGGGAAGGGAACAAAGGCATCCCCCAGTTTATGGCCATACCAGAGGTGATTGCATCTGCGTGGATGAAGTTGTTGCCGTTCTAAGACAGGAAGCATAGGTTGAGAGTTGGGGTGGGATCCATGGTGAGCTAATTTAGGGCATGTTGAGTTTGAATCTCTTATGTGAGTGGGGACATTCAGTAGGCAGTAGAGTATATGACTCTGGTGCTTAGGAGCTAGAAGACTGAGCTGGAGAAAAATATTTTGGAGTCCTTAGCAGGTGCTTGGTGGGTCAACCTGGTAGAATGGTTGAAAGAGCCAAGAAGAATATAAGACAAAAAGATGGCAAGAGATAGAAGTTGGAAGAATGCCAGTATTTAAGGGCTGGGCAGAGGGAAGAGTTGTAGTGAAAGATGAGGAATGGCTCTAGAAGGAGGCTGAGAATCGGTAAAGTCATGGAAGCTGAGAAAGGACAGGGCTGACAACTGACCACCAACTTGAGAGCAGACCCTTGCGCCACAGAGGTCACAGGGAACCTTCAGTTTTGGTGGAGTGGTAGGGGCAAAAGCCTGTGTAAGAGAGAACAATGAATTTGTTCCCTCTACTCAAAAGTGGGGTCTGCACGGGCCCCTGAATCGGTGGAATGAACTCATGCAGTACTGAGGCAGAGGACAGAGGTTGCTGCTTGTCATGTGCAGCCGGGTCCCTGTAAACGGACCTGCCAATGGTCTCAGTGGAGAGGGGTGGAGCGAAGGACACCCTCCATCCTCCTCCCCGCCCACATACCCTCTTTTATTGTTTCCTTTCAGGGCAGAAATGGAAAGCCCATGGAGACATCCAGTTGCAACATTTCACTCTGAGACAATGATAGCTTTCTCCCTCCCTAATATGTTTGTAGACACACATTTATTGAAAGAATGAGGAAACAAGCTTAGTTTCTCAAACTGAAGGACTTCTGAGGAAGAAACTTTGGACATGCATACTTAGCAAACAAAAAAACTTTCAACAAAGAACCTCTAGGCAATGCATAATCCTCCTTCCTCATTCACATTTGCAGGACACCTGGGTAGAGAACATAGAAGGGGATTGTCTCTACTTAGCCCATTCATTCCCACACAGGTGCACAGGTAGGGGGGACTCCCTGTTGGGCAGTGTCCATAGAGTTGATTCGATTTCCTGAGGACCTCCACCAACACCTGAGATCTTCCTTGTTAGCTGGTGGCAACCACCTGCATTGCAACTATGGACTGGGGATTAAGTAAACACGGGGCTGGCATTGGAAAATCCCACATGTTAGGTGACAGCAAATATTAGAGGAAGCAGGAGGCTTAAATTGTAGTAGAATACAGACCAGAAAAGGTTGTACTTTAGAAGAATACTTAAAAGGGCAGAGGATTGTCTTTGGATAAAAGATCTTGCTTTCTTTTTCTAGAGGAGATAGTAAAGTTACCGCTTTATTTTTTATTTTATTCTTTTTGTAATGTTTATTTATTTATTTGGACAGAGAGAGAGACTGAGAGTGAGTGAGTGGGGGAGGGACAGAGAGAGAGGGAGAGAGAATCCCAAACAGGCTCCACAGCACAGGGCCTGATTTGGGGCTTGATCTTACGACCCATGAGATCATGACCTGAGCCAAAATCAAGAGTTGGACACTCAACCGACTGAGCCACCCAGGCGTCCCCCACTTTATTTTTAATATAAGCAGTAAAAAAGTTGGCAGCGGGGGATGAGGAGAACTTACCATTTAAAATCTGAGAATAAGGGTGCCTGGGTGGCTCAGTCAGTTGAGCGTCCGACTCTGGCTCAGGTCATGATTTCGTGGTTGATGAGTTCGAGCCCTGCATAGGGCTTTGTGCTGACAACTCAGAACCTGGAGCCTGCATTGGATTCTATGTGTGTATCTCTCTCTCTGCCCCTCCCCCACTTGTGCTGTCTGTCTCAAAAAGAAAATCAACATTAAAAATTTTTTAAATCTGAGGACAGATTTTCAACGTAGTTGGTAGGCCTGTCCCCCACTTTTCTTACCTCTGATTCATATTCTGTCCCTAAGTGCAAAATGAAAAGATAGCTGATGGTTCCTCCCTATCTATATTTTTATGGAAAATCTCCTAAGGATCCATTGCAACAGGGAGAATGGTGTTGTCTTTACCTACCTCTAGAAGTTATAGTGCTTAGATCCCAGGGACCTGGCTTTGAATCTCAGTTCTGCTGGTTTCTGGACAGAACCTCTCTGAGTCTCAATTTTCTTACTGGCCAAAAAGTGATAGTAATAATGTCCATAGGGTTATTTTGAAGATTAAATGAGATGATGTATGCAGAAAGACCCAACAGAATGCCCAATTAACGTTAGATTCCCTCTCCATTGAGAATGAAGAGTTCAAGTAAGAAGAGGTTCGGTGACTTCCATCTAATTGAAACAAACCCATCCTGGTCTGTCTTCTTCCCTGGGCTGGGAGGACTGACCAGGCTAGGTCGTGCTGCCCAGCCAGTACTGATCCCAAGGGAGGATGGGATGGCCTGGGGCTGGGCCTGAGGCAAGGCTGTCCTTTCCTGAAAGCTACAACACTTGTTGCCAGAAAGAGAGGACTGGATTGTGTCTGAGGTCAGAGCTACAGATACAGGTGCAGAATGGATCCTGAGGGTACAGGGGCCTGAGGAGCCAAGATGTGTGGCCAGGAGGGAGTCTGAGGAGCAGGAGCCGGAAACTGTGTGTGTTGGGGCAGTGGTAGCTGGTCTGTGTGGCAAGTCGGAGCCTATTAAAGGGCTTTGGGCAGAATAAACATTCTGTGCGGCCTGGTTATTGGCATCCAGAAGATCTCGGGGAATGAGTTCTTGCTCAGCTGCCGCGTGAGACATTCTGGCTCTCTTCTTCTCTTTACCTTGTAAGGGTAGTTAAGACCAAGGCAACGTGGCCATCCAGAGCAGGGTCACTTGTGAAAGTGCCTTCTGCTCTGCTAGACATAACATCATAGGGAGTTATGAAAATAATTCGAAAAGAAGAAAAATAGCCACAGATTGCTAAGCAGAGCCAATAGCTACAGCTCCCTACGAGACTCTGAGACCTGGGTTATGACTCATGAGGCAGAGCTACAGAGAAGAGAACATTTCTGCAAATAGAAGCCACGGCTGGTCCTCCGAAGAAGGACAATCCAGGATGAGGGAAGCGGCAGCCTAGTGTAGCAGTCAGTGGAGGACACGGGCTTGGGGATGAAGCAGACCTTGGGCTGTTCTACCATGAACGGGAGCTAGTTACTTCTTCCAGTCTTCTCCTCTTTAAAAGACAATAGACATGCACTAAAAGTTCTCTGGAAGGACGCGGGTTAGGAGAAGACTGCATAGATGAGGACCGAGATGGGAGAGACGCTTTTTACTTCATAGCTTTATACATTTTCATTGAACCACGTGGATGTGTGTCCTAGCAAAAGGCTAAATGAGAAAACAATAGACAAATGATGATCATCTATACCTTTTAGGATTACACAGTCCCGATGGATGGCAATCACATAATTTACCGTTGTTGTTGTTGTTATTATTAATATGGGGCCGGTGGTTTTTACCCTTAAGATCTTGGCAGTCTCTTTGTCACACACCCAAATCGATGTCCTGTATGCACTGGCCTTACATTATGTTTATAACTAGTGGTAGAAATTCAGCTCCTTAAAATGGGTCTTGTAAATGGGTAAAATGAGTAAATGAATAAATGAATAAATTTACCACTTGCAGTTTAGACTGTTAATATATATGTGTGTATATGTCATATATATATGTATATATATATAAACACATTTTAGAGCGTTATATTACATTATTGACAGTGGCACCTGGCTTTATATAATGAAGACCTATAGACCCTTTGCCTATATTCACCAATTGTTAACGTTTTTGGCCACATTTGCATTCTTTTTCTCTTTCATACATGCATGTCCATCCGTATTTTTTTTCCAAACTATTTGAATGTCAGTTGTTGATATGACACTTCTGTTTGTAAATACTTCAGCATGTGTCTTCAAAGTACAAGGACGTTCCCCTAAATAACCACGATACACTTATCAAATCTGGGAAATTTGACCATTACATAAGGCTGTTATCTAATGTGCAGTTTATATTCAAGTGTCCCCACGTGTTCTAGGAAATATCCTTTTTTTAAACGTTTATTTTTATTTATTTTGAGAGAGTGCGTGTGTGCATGCACGAGAGGGAGGGGCAGAGAGAGAGAGAGGGAGAGAGAGAATCCCAAGCAAGCTCCATGGTCAGCACAGAGCCTGACATTCAATCCCATGACCTTGAGACCATGACCTGAGCCAAAATCAATTTGTATCTGATTGTTTCCTTATATTTAGACTTGGATTAAATGTTTTTGTCAGGAATACTATAATAGATGATGTTCTAATGCCATCTTTTT